CAAGTGTGTGCGCTGCTCCTCTCTCTCTCTCTCTCTCTCTCGCTCACACACAGCAAGCCCTCAAAGCCACCAGTAGCAAACGATGCCCCCCATTAGAAAAGTTGAATCTTGCAGTTAAAGTATTCCCACCCTAATAAAAAAAATTTGACTCTAGCTCTATATACAATATGAACTCATCATTTACAGAATAACGGTGCAGCCACACTAGCAATGAGATTTGAACCGAATTTTTTTGGATTATATATCAAATTGATAATAATCCCAAATATTTCAAATAATATCAGGCTCTAAACAATGATGAACTTTGCTCAATGTGAAGCACCTCAGGTGTCTCAATAGTATTATTCTATGAAAAATAATCCCCTTTTTTTCACATGATGAATGGATGATAAGAGGTTAAAGTTGGTTGATAAGTTCTTATTCGCTCCTCCAAAGATTGGGTATTTTGGGAGGTAATGCTTGGATTTGAACTTGTTGATCGGGGGTGGGGGGGAGAAGGGAGATTATTGATTTTCTTGGGTTCTTGTGAATGCAATATAATATTAGATAAAGTATATTCAAAATCCTCTTGTATGTGTTCATAAAAAAAAAAAAGATGTACTGAAACCCCCACACCATAACTAATGATACCATGATCAACAGATCATTCTCTACTTATCACAGCTCAACCTTGAATAGCACAACCTCAAAGTCCAAAGCCAAAACAACTAACAATCAGCATAATTCCCTTGATTGCATAATCGAAGCTGGAAATCATCTAGTGCAGCGGGGACATAAAGACCGCCTAAGCTGACCTCTTTATCTTCAACAAGTTGTTCTAGAGGGGAGAATCTCACAGGCCACCAAAGACTACTCAACCACTTCATCAAGTGACTACAGAAGCTTAGCCCTTCTAGATGACGTCTCATTGACTCTAGAAGGACACGTGGAATGTTGTCAGAGATATTCTAACGAAAATATATTTCCTTCAAGATTCTAACATTCTAACTGATTGAAAGAATCACACGATCTAAGATACAAATAAAAGCTAATCCCTATATAAATAGGAGGAAGTTACTTGAAATCTCATCATAACAACCTCCTTTTGCAAGCAATAGAAATTAGAGAACAAGAGACTTCAATATAGAGTATTAGATAAGCTCTTCAACTTGGTGAACCGTTGAATCATTTGTGTTATTTAGTTTTTTGAAGTTATCATTTTTATGTAACATGAAAGAGCTCTTCAGTTCCAAATCTTGAATCAATCCCTCACTCACGAATACATTCTCTTCAGTTTCTTCAGCTATCTTCGGATCCTTTTACTATCTTCCTATGCTTGTACCTTTATTTTGCGTTATCAATAATCATAACTAAAAAGATGCCTGCAAATCCCTAACCATAATATTAAAAACAAAATTGATATGCAAAAAAAGAAAAAAACAATCCGTTGTACTCGGTTTTTGGCAGGCTAGCCCGGACCAGGGCATCGTGGTGGATTAAGTATGGCTGACCCGGCCCGTTACCAAAAATGAAAGGGTATATTACATTCACACCCCTGAATTCTATCACTAAAACACATTGACCCCTTCAGGTATGACATATTACAATTACACCCACTATTAGTCATGCTCAAACACATCTAATGGAAGTATTAAAAGGACTATTTTGCCCTTATTCAAAATAAATAAAACCAGCCTACACCAAAACCCAGACCCCTCCACCGACACAAAACCTCTCCCTTTCTCTCTTTCCACTATCCACCACCGACCCCTTCTCTCTGTCTCTCTCTCTGTTCTATCCCTAACAGCCACCATCATAACAGCCACCACCAAACCCATATCATTGAAACCGTCCATCAAACCCACCACCCGACCCCTCCATCTCTCTATGTGTTCTATCGCTAATCGCCCATCAAATCCACCACCATAATAGCCACCATCAAACCCATATAACCGAAACCGTCCATCAAACCCACCAACCATAACAGCCACCATCAAACCCATATCAACGACCAACCAGACCCATCAATACATCACCACCACCGCCTGCCCAAACATCCTCTTTCCTATTGTTTGGTCCCGCCTGTATGTGGTGTTTTTGTGTGAAGAGAGAGAGAGAAAGAGAGAATGGCAAAAGTTGCCAGTTGGTGGAGTTGGGACTTCAGTGGGTTGGGCAGGCGATGGGACATAGGCTTCAAGGGGAGGTGGTGGGGTTTGTAAATAGGGACAATGGTATAATTAAAGGGTAAAGCCCTATCTATTGCAAACCCTTTCTCTTTCTTACGTTCTTCACCATGATCCTCCCCCAGCAAACCTCCACATCACTATAACCTCCAAACTCAAGGGCCGCAATTGTGTTAATTGTTGGATGGAAAGACAAAATCAAAACCAAGCAAACTGAACAGAGAAAACTTCAATAGCATTTCTTTAAAGGGTTAATTTTATTTTGCACCTCGAAAGATTATTCGAATCTCAATTTATACCCTCAAAGATAAAAAATTTTAATTTACACCCTCAAAGATATAAATTTATATTAATGTGCACCCCTAAAGATCGAAAATCTCAATTTGCACCTCAAAGATAGAAATTTGTATCAATGTGCATCCTTAAAGATAAAAAATCTCAATTTGCACCTTCAAAGATAGAAATTTGTATCAATGTGCACCTAAAATTAAATTAATAAATTATACCTTGATCCTCTCATATTTGTCAGTTAATCATTTAAACTCCTTCACATTTAGAATATTCATCTTACATCTCATGACGTTTATGTATGTATAACACATAACCACTTTTCGTTGATATATATTAATATAATCGTTAAAAAATATGATTTTATCCTAATATAAAATTATAATTTTATATTACCTTTTATTTTATGAATTCAATATACTCAAAAATTGAAAATTAAGCTTACCATTAGAATGTCTAATAAAATGTAGATATTTATATAAAAGGTAATATGTAAAATATTATATAAATATTTATATTTTATTAGACATTCAAATGGTAAACTAGATTTTGAATTTTATAGTATATTGAACCTATAAAATAAAGGGTAATATGAAATTATAATTTTTTATTAGGATAAAATTATATTTTTTAACGGTTATATTAATAGATATCAATGAAAATGGGTTACGTGTTATACGTGCACAAATGTCATAAGATGTAAGAGTAATATTCTAAATGTGAAGAGGTCTAAATGATTAACTGACAAATATGAGGGGATTTAGGTATAATTTATCAATTTAATTTAGGTACACATTGATACAAATTTCTATCTTTGAGGGTGTAAATTGAGATTTTTTATCTTTGGGGTACACATTGATATAAATTTCTATCTTTGAGGGTACAAATTGAGATTTTTGATCTTTGGGGGTGCACATTGATACAAATTTCTATCTTTGAGGGTGTAAATTGAGATTTTTGATCTTTGAGGGTATAAATTTAGATTCGAACAATCTTTCGGAGTATAAAATGAGATTAACCCTTCTTTAAATGAACCTCATGAAGAGAAATTAGAGATATGGATAAGTGCCGGCCAACCTTTAGGCCAATTAGGCCATTGCCTAGCCCCAAATTGGAAGAAAAATTTGGGGCCCAAAAAAAAAAAATAATGATTATTTTAGAATATAATTTAAATATTTAATATATTTTAATTATTGAATTAATAGTGAATGTTAAGTTTAAACAAAAATTACTATTTATCTAATGTACTTTATCCTTAAATTAAGTGTAACTAGTATTATTGTAAAATTTTTAAAACCTCTTTTAAAAAAATTTAGGGTCGTAAAGTTCAGCTTATTTTTTTATTTCACCCGATATTTATATTATATGCATTATAACTTTGCAGTCTTCTTATTAATATCAATTGTCTATCGTATAATAGGTACAAATAATAATTTTATATTTGTATAAGTTAAATTTGAGGTCATTTTTTAATAATTTTGGTTACGATACACAAGATGACTATAAAATAGAGTGAGTAGAAATAATACACTAGCTATCTTAGATTGATTAACCATTGTTGTCTTACTAAAATTTTTTATTTAAAAATTGTTCTTTTTCTCTATAATATCTAACAATATCTCATTTATTTTAGAACTATTCAACTTATATAAATTTCTATTTTATATACATTTATACAAAAATTATTTTATAAGTTAACCTAATTTTTAATTGTGTTTCTCTTTTATATTAAACAAATAGTATGTATTATTGTATTTGATATTCGTATTTGACTTCGATTAACACAATTTTTATTTGTAAAATTTGAATTAGTATGTTATATCTCAAAATACAAAACAAATAATTTGTAAATAAACATATGTTAATAAGTTTTTAATATTACTATTATTACTGAATAAATATTTATTCAACCTCGTATAACATTTTCATCTAGGCCTGGTATGGATGGGGAGTTAGTGGGTGTGGTTGAGTTGGTCTTAGGGAATTGACTTCGCCAAAGGTAAGATTGGCGGTGGTGAGTGGTAGATTCTCATGCATGTGATGGTGGTGGTGAGTGGGGCGTAAAGTGGTGCTTTCATGGCTCGTCCATGGCAGAGATTGTGCCCGTTGTTATTTGTGGGTGAGTGTCGGTAAGAGATGGTAGTGGTGGATGAAGTTTTCCTGTGCGTAATGGGTGGTGTGGTGGCGGCACAGGGTGGTGGAGGTTTTGCTGCGTACTCAAAAATTTTGGGTTTTGCAGATATTTAGTGGTTTATGATGGATATCTCAGGGGTAATTTAGGAATTTTGTTATAAGAATATGTTTAATTCATTGAGATTTAACAGTGCTTTGGATCGGACGACTTACCGAAAAAAAAACAGTGCTTTGGACGAAATTTAACACCAGGGGGCTATTTGTTACATCATATCAAACTTTAGGGGGTGGAAGTGTTATACTGTATACTTGAAGGGGTCTGTCTGTATCATTGACAAACTTTAGGGGGTCTTGATATAATTTACCCAAAATGAAAATTGGAGAAAGCGAGAACGGAGAGACCACGCAGTTCGAAGAGAAAGTCGGTTTGGTTTACTGTGCAAAACCGCCATTGCCACCAACTGTACAACCTTACTCTCTCTCTCTCTCTCTCTCTCCATCATCTGTCCCTCACGAACACACAATCGATACATATATATCATTCCAAAACCCTCTCTGATTGTGGTCTTTCTCTCTCTTCTGCTTACCCAGAATGGGAAGCTCAAAAACAATTACAGACGATTCGGTCACTGTATCGGACGATGCCGGCGCCACCACAGAGACCGACATCGGCATAGATGACACCGTTGACTCTCCCCCTCCGGCCGATTCCAGCTACTTCCAAGAAGGTGAAAAGGTCCTAGCTTACCATAGCCAACGCCTTTACGAAGCCAAGGTACCCGGACTCTCTTTCCTCTCCTCAAGATCAAACATTTCCCTTTGTTTCTCGAAAAAGAAAAAGGAAAATAGTTCCTTTGTTATTGAGATTCGTTGATAAGCATTTTCTTTTCTGCTCATTCTTTCTCTCTGTTGCGAGGAATTGTTCCCAAAGATTGTTAGATTTTTTCGCTGATCCTCACTGATATGGGTCTATGTTTATCCCATAGGTCACCCGCTATGCTATTTTTTGTCCATTTTTTCACTGGCCTAGGAATTGGGTGGTGGAAAAAAGTAGACAAGATCAGACTAATGCTTGTTCTTTGGTTCAATTTATATGATCATTCAGAATTCTAGTTTGTTTGGATGCCACATATAACCAGTTCCAAGCTTTGTATTTCAATGTCTATGCAAATGGGTTTTGTCATGAATCTGCTCTTCACCCATTTCCTCTTTGTGTACGGAAGTTGCTTAGTGCAAGATGAGTATAGTCAGTAGGTTCTTATTACTTGAATTTGGGATTCAGTCTATTTTAGGGTGTAAGATCAATGGTGCACGGATAATTTCTACAATAGTTTGAGACAGCGATCTCCAAGTTGACGAACCTGAAACAACAATAGTTTGAGATAGCTATCTCCTTGACGAGCCTGAAACAACAGGGTTAGAAAAAGGGGGCCAGGTGAACACCCGGCTTATCCCTCCGAAGCTTAAGTCAGTCTAAGGTCGAAGGGTTTAACTCAATGAACAATTTTTTTCTGGTTCAAGTTTGCGTACTTTTGTCCATTTTTCTGTGGAGTATTTATACCTGAATTAACAATGATTGCCAAAGGTCTCCAGTCCCATCTGGACATCTAACATCTGACATACCATTTCTCGAGCAATGAGTGTTTTCTACTCACGTCTCCTCCTATTAAATGCTAGGACGATGGGATGAGCGCTCGGCTAAATGCCGAACATTTATGCCCTTCCCCGAGTACCCAAATCTCTCAGATCGGCATCTGACATAAACTGAGCATTGAATATTCGAGGGAACAGTTCCTCGGGGGGTGCCGATCGCGTTGTCTCGGCGCATCAGCCATTAATACTTAGCCATCATAATAGTAGGCCTAGACTCCCAGAGTGAAGGTGCTTGTAGGCGCGCATTTATTTGTCTTGTTACCATCACTCACTCTGCCATAAATGAGGGGTCACGTCGTATTAAATATGATGCTAACAGTCGTACTCGGTTGCTCCGGGTCACCATACCTCGGTTTACCTCCTCGGCACCCTTTGGACGTCCCAACAGTTTCATTACTCCACGTGTCAACCTGGGGCTGTAAAGTCACCTAGAGTCCTGCCAAATGGGATGAAATAGTCCCTACAACTTTTCAACAAAACACTTGCTACGGTGATTTCTTGCTTTTTCGTTTACTGGGAAACCATCATGATACTACTTAGTTACCTTAGTTGCAATGCTAAAATGCCAATTTAAGCTCAGTTAGCTATCTTATAAATGTCTGCTATATTCATTACTCAACGGGAAGATCATGTGCCTTAAATGTGATGGAGATTGCTTGAAAAAGATATTGATGCTGACATCAGCTTCTATCTAGTGCCAGACTGCCAATCTATCTCTTGCTGTAAATTTTCCTTTGAAATTTTTTTTGGGGGATGCTTGTGTGCGACAATCTGCACATTATATTTTTTGGCCTGAGTTATTGCTCTGTAAGTAATTCTTTTAACTCTAATATGGTGCACGCTTCTGTCGGCAAGGTGGAAAAAATTGAATTTCAGATGGAGTGGAGGTATTTCGTACATTATCATGTAAGTATTATTTTTGTTTAATGTATAATTGTATATATCTCAAATCAATATATGATTGTGGAGTTAAGCAGTTTATTGGTTCTATAATTCCTCCAAGTCTTTACAATCATTCAAGTGGTTGCATTAATAGAATTTCCTGACTTTTTGGGTTTCTGTAACTCCATAAATTCCTAGGGGAGAGTGCTTTAATGGCATGTTCCTGTTGTTTTGCAGGGGTGGAACAGAAAGTGAGTACATCTTGTGCGTTATGTTCTTTTTGTGACAACTTCCTGGATTCCAACATATAATTGCTATAAGAAGGGAAGGGGTATTAGACTGAAAATTTTATTTATTGATTAAGTTACCACAACAGATATTATGATTCCATCACGTTTGGATTCTGCATTGGATGCTTTCTTTGAACTCTTTCCAGTACTCTTTAGGCAGTATACTATTTACAACTTAATTGTTTGAGATTATGGTGATGATATTATTTATATGATTTGTTAAAGGGAGGATATTTTAATACTAGTATAATTTGGTTAGAGGGAAGGGAGGCTGGGAGGTCTAATTTGAGAATTAAGAGCTTCACAGGAGGGGAGGTGTACTTTTCCTTTTTTTTGATGTCTTACTATGTTGGTTGCAATCTTCAGGAAGTTTAACTTCTTCATCATTATCATTAACAGTTGGGATGAATGGGTAAGCATTGATCGTCTGATGAAACACACTGAAGAAAATGTGCAAAAACAGCAGGAGCTCAACAAAAGGCAAGACATAGAGAAGAATACAAAGCTTGGTCGTGCATCACAGCCTAAACCAAAAACTTCTGCTGGTTAGATCTTTTGATGTTGAATACAACTATTCTCACTTGGTTTTAGTTTTTGTTTTGTTTGGCGTGTCGGGGTGGGATGTTTCCTAGGCTTATAATTATTTAGAAACTGAAAAATAAAAGGATCATAATATTTTAGAATTGGAAATTTTAGCCTATCATTCTATAACCATGATGTCTAGTCTACAATAGAGCATTATCAAGGTAGAGACCATGTAGTTTATGCTAGCACAGAGTAATTATTGTTTGTGGACAAGTTTTCAGTAACTTTTAGTGCATTGTATTGTAGGTGATGACAGACCAAACAAGAATTTTGATTTTCTTTTGTTTCTACTTCACTGAGGATTCAAGTATACAAGAAAACAGCCTCAATATTTCCCAACCTTACATCTTCTGCATGATTTGACAGTTATATAACATCTAATTGTAGCTTTGTCATTTTCCTATTGATTGATGGAGCATTTCCGTTGCATAATGTATCACTTGCAAAATCGGGTTTTGTTTACTACATTTATGGAGGTTATTCCTTAATTAACAATCTATGCTACTGTGGAACACTCGTTGCAGTTTCAAGAGGCAAGAAGCGAAAGAACGATTCTGTTCTTAAGGTACAGCTTTGGCTTATCATTATTAAAAAGTACTTCCAGAGTACAGGAGTTTTGGAAAAACATATGTGATTGGAGTGTAAATATTGTAGAAATTCTCACAGCCAGACTTTTATCTATGTATGTTGTTCTTGAAGGAATTTGCATTGCCACCTTTTTCTTTCTTTGTGTCGGGATTGCCACCTATTAGGCTGTTCACTTCCCTTGTATTTCCAGAGGTGGTGGTTGTTTTTTTTTAAGATGCAAGAGGCTATAGATTATTGCCTGTGGATGTAACTGATTATGGTGATTTATTCACTTGTCGAACTGCACAAGAATCCTTCTCACGCATTTAAAACCTTTGCATGAGGATTTAGATTGTCTTTTCAAGATTGGCACCAAATAAATCTTACTTCTGTTATACTTTCCAGAAATCTTACATCTGTTGTGTGCTAAACTTGTTTTTGCATTGGAGCACAATATATGAAGACTAGGAGTTACCATATTCACATAGTGAAGCTGGCTTTTTGAAGAGAGATTTTGTGTTATGTCTTTCTAAACATATATGTGTACTTTTTGAGTTGTTTGGGACCTTTGGGTTAAAACGTGCTCACTGGTTATTGCTTCAGTGCTTCTGCACATTGTTGGTCTTTTTGATATGCTGGAGCTTTAGATCGAATTTAGGCATCATGTATATTTTTCAAAATAAGATCGTATGGTATCATGCTTTAGGAGATCTTGTTTCTGCTGAAGTACCATGTTTGATATATAAATTTTGGTTATTGGTAGCTACTTGCTATAGTACAGCCACATTAATGTCAACTCAATGGTTACGTTCTTCTGAATGCAGAAATGCTAACATATATCATGCAGCAGGTTTTTTTGTCCCATCCATGTTAAGTTGTGTCCTCTTGCTTACTAGTCCGATTCTCTGATTCGGATTGATGATTCTCTCTCTCTCTCCCCCCCCCCCTCGCTCTCTCTGTCCTCCCTTACCTGAGACTTGTGCATTAAGTTTATGGCTGGAATTTGTTAGGAGAAAGGCAAGACACCATTGGAAAAGCTCGTGAACATCCAAATTCCGCCAACCTTAAAGAAACAACTGGTTGATGATTGTGAATTCATAACTCATTTGGGCAAGGTAATATTTTTCACACCTTGCAAACTTCTCTATTTTCTCTGCAAGTTGTGTATTGCCTGAAAATACTTGTTGAAATGGAATTGCAAGGTCTTTTTGAAGTATTTCTTTTGAAAACTTTGATCTTTCTGTGTTCAATGTTTCCTCTATCAAACTAAATATTAATCAAAATATAACTTGACATTATTGGATGCTAGGAAAGTGTTTGTTCCTCGTTGAGGGTTACATGGAAGTAGCCTGGTGTTCTGACAGACCTCTAAGAGATATACTCCTATATTATCAATTGTGTTCTGGATTCTTGCGGTTGATGTTCTTTTTGAAATATGTAGAAAAGGGTATGCCACAGATGCTTGGTTTCCTTTTGTAGAGAACATTGTTAGCTCTATTTTCCATTAGTTCTTACCTGTCAAGGGCATCGATGTCTACCAACTATAAACTCTACACATGTTTCATTACTGTGAAACTATTGGCAGTCTGTCAGTTTTTACGCTAATGATTCAGTGTTGTCAGGCATTAAATCTGCTCCTGTGAAATGTGTATCTTCAACATTAGAGCCAACATCACAAACTTTTCAATCAACCCACTGTCACCACATTTGTCCACTTTGAATGCATCTGAACAAAAAGTTTTTTATACCTCCAGTGTTCAACGTTCACAATGCTGTTCCTTAAATTCATATGGATCTCAAACATCATATTTGGTGATAGACATTGTTTTAAAAACCTAGTGTTGCTACTGAGTAACGATGCAACACATAATGGACTTAAAAGTGATGGAAACAGAAATTGGAGAGCTAATCATTTTGGGATTCTCATTCCTTCAAGTTAAATATATGCTAATCATAAAGTTTATTCTATCATCTCTGTGATTTTGACTAGCTGAATAAACTTATCTTATTTTGGAATAGACTACTTCAAAATACACATGTATAACATGCCTTAGCAATTTGAAAGGATTTGGTAACTCAATGACAATTATGACCCCACCAGCCTCAGGTTTTAGCAAGCAGTTGAAATAGCACTTAATTGAATCATGTGTGGATGTACCATTTGGATATTCTACCCATTATGGAGCACTTTTAAAGCTTTTTCCTCAATTGTATCATTGATGAATCATGAATCATGTTTTATATGCCACTATGGTTCCTGGAATATATCTCATTCTTATTGAAGTATCTCAAGAGTGGTATTGATTTGTATTTGTCGGTGCGATAGACATTCAAAGGGCTATGTTTTGAAGAAGTGAAACTTCTAATAATTTTGAACCAATTTTTGGCATACCAGCCTTTAAAATGTTCGTGATATGTAGTAAAGTGCTCTGCAGTATTGCCTATTTTGATATTAGAGTCCTGGTGTGATAAAACTTTGTTGATTTGAGTTGAGTTTTGATATTAGAATCCTAGAATAATTACTGTGTATATAGTAGCCATATAATGTGGTTATTGAAACCTGTTTGTTTTTCATGGGTGAGATTTCTGTATGGATTTTAGAACATGGATGAAGTTTTCATGGTAGGCCTGCTGACTTCCTAATTAAGATTGTATGGCCTTATATGGGAGTTAAATGCAGGTGAAACATAAGAAAGTCAGCAATGCTGGTGTTACAGATGCACGTCAGCTTCTGTTTAGCTTTGTTTCCCCTTTTGCCTCGATGTCTACTGGTTCTCAGTTTTTGTAGTGTAGAGGACTAAGAAATTTTGCTTTTATGTTGTATTTAATATTTTTTTGGCCATTTCTGGTGTATTGATCTGTATCTAGTCTTCGGATTTCATTACTTGATCCTTTCTTGCAGCTTGTCAAACTTCCCCGTACTCCAAATGTTGTTGAAATATTGAATAAGTATCACGATTACCGGATGAAGAAGGATGAAATGTAAGTTCATGTTCCACTGATTCTGCCATTGGCTCAACTGGATTTTTGGCTGCTCGGGCATGCTATTTCTTTTTGGTATCATTTGTTTTAATGCCAACTGTAGCATTACGAAAATGCCACTTTTTAAGAATATTCTTTGAGGTCATGACTTCTTATGCTAAGAGTTGTATATGACCAAGAAATGTAAACTGCAGCTTTACTTGGATGAAGTGGCATTTCTGGACTAGAGTTTGTTCTTTTGAACATTTTGGAGATTTTTTTTTCGAATTTTGCGTGCAGAAGGTAATTGATCCACTGCAAATGAGCTAGTGTTGACTCTTCTATTGGTTGAATGGTTGCCTTTTTGTTTTGTACCTTTACTACTATCAATCTATATATATTTAGTTGTCTTTGTTTGTGTTTGTACCATCTTTTTTTTTTTTGGGAGGTTGGGAGGAGGGGAGAGGGGGGAAGGGGGCTTGAACCCTTGACTTCAAGAAGATAAAGCCTTCATAAGGTAAGGAGGATCGTTTGACCAAAGGCCCATTGGTTTTGTGTTTATGTTCCCAAGTTTTTATGCAAATTTTTTTCCCGGATTTTGTATAATGTGCTATAAATGGTGTTTGGATTTGTGTTTATTCCACTGATGGGTAATTAGAAATTGATGCGTATTGGTAGTTATCTCACACTTCAATGCCATTTGGTGGGTGAAGGATAGCTGATTCAGTAGGAGAAATTTTGAACGGCCTGCGATGTTACTTTGACAAATCATTGCCTGCAATGCTCCTGTACAAAAGTGAGCGTCAGCAATACCAGGAAATTGAAGATAATGTCTCTCCTTCAATAGTATATGGAGCTGAACATTTATTACGGCTCTTTGGTAAGTTCATAGTTATGCGGGGCAAAAGCTTATTAAGCACACTGCTTCATATATGGGAGACCAATCAAATTATATCATTTATGATCATTGATAGAGCTTTCTCATTTTGTATGATACTGTTATAGCACTTGGATAGTTGGAAGTTTCTTCCACTGTTTAATGTATTATGTGGTTTCCAATTTCCTCGTCTTTTTAGGTTGTTAGAACATGTATAGTCTATAGAGCAGCTTTCTTTCCTTAGTTTTCAATATGTATCGAACAATCAATTGGGGTGATTTGTCAAATCTCATTGTAGAATTTGATATCATTCTAGTCATGTGATTTTACGCCCTTTGAGAGTTTTAGTATGTGTAGATAGCTGATATTGAAAATACCCAGGATTCATAAAGTTCTGTTCTAAGATACTGTGAAAAAGCAGCTAATAGTTTGTGGATGTACAAGTCCTTTTTCACGAGTGATTTATGATATTATGATGTATCTGTCCACGCAGATTTTCCTTTTTCCTTTTTTCTTTTTCCTTCTCTTCTCTTCTGTTTTTTTTTTTTTTTTTTTTTTCTGTTTTCTTAAGATTAGTTTGGTTTTACATGTGAGTAATTTTTTTCCAAAATTGAAATCGAATAGTAAGTGATGTTTGATTAGTCTTTCTCATGTGTAATTGTGGATTACAATGTTAGGTCTACAGATATCGATTTCCTTAAATCTGAAGAACTCTCGAGTGTTGTGTTGGAACGCTTATATATTTAGTTGTTAAGTTTCCATTATCATGAATTTTCATGAGTTACCGCACAACGCCCAGACTTCCAAGACTCATTAACTATTTTAAACTTGTAACACAGTATCTTTCTGCTGCCAACTTTAATACTTGTGGGGTTGAGCAAGTTTTTGGCTTTTGCAGTGAAGTTGCCTGAGCTATTGTACGATGCAAACATTGAAGAGGAGACCTTGAAGGAGTTGCAGCAGAAATTACATGACTTCCTCAAGTATATAATTTCCCACTCCTCTGAGAAGTTTTTACGTACATGCATAATTTGTATCTGTATTCCCCATTTTCTCTCTCTGGCCCAACGTCTGTCTGAAAGATATAGCTTTTACTTCAATTATGATGTGATCACATGATGCTAGTAATAGAATCCCCCAAGAAATAGGCTTCAGACTGGTTGTTATTCTCTATGGAACTGAGATGTAGTCAACTTAAAGTTATTTTCCCCAAGTTTATAGACTGGGAAGCATGAAAATCTCTCCCAGGTCTGCTTATCAGCTTTGGACACACGAAAAAGTGTGAGCTTTCTTTCTGAATTTTTGATACATTCAGGATATGCTAAGGCTACATAATGCACAATGGAAGCTACCACCTTACAACCATTGAATCTAACAAAATCTAATAATTTGAAAGATAGAAATAGAAAGATAGGAGACTAGAAATGTGATCTTTCATGCTCATGACATCCAATTACCTCATTGTCATCTTCCGGTGCCCTCAAGTGATTCCCTATCCCTTCTAGTTAATGTGTTTTTTTTCTTCAGTCCTGGTTTCATGACTTGTGTTGATATTAAAATAGTGTTTTGAAATCAAGTAATGTTTGAAACTTAAAATAGATCTGTTCCATAATGGTGTCCTAGTTTTTTGAAAAATTTTGTGTCGCATTGTATCCATGTCCTGTCAACTTTAGCTTCTTTTACTCCACATATCATTGCAAGGTAAGAAAACATTCTGCATGAAGTTACCGTGGGGACTTGTGGGGTAGGGTGGTCAGGTTGGACCAGTTAAGCTATCAAAGATAGTTGTCTTGAAGTCGTTTGTTCTGAGAACTCAATTTGGTCCCGTTGATCTTGTCTTAAAACTTGTAGAAAACAGTTCATTTCGTAGTTATGATCTGATTCCAGATATATCAGCCACATCGTAGGTTTGATGTCAAACATGCATTTTCTAGGAAAACAATGGTTTTTTGATCTTGCATGATTTCTGTATGAAAAAGATTTTTCCTTATAAACTTTTGTGGAGGTCAGTCTTCAATGTATGGGGTTTACCATAGTTACTTAATTTCTACCATGATATGGATTTTCTCCAATAATAACTATAGATTTGACCATTTTTGTCTTGCAGGTTCCTGCAGAAGAATCAGAGTGCCTTCTTTCTCCCTACTTACCAGATGCCGGAAGGTTTTTTACAAGCAAGTCGAGAACAAGATGACAAAGCTGGAATGCATTCTGGAAACGCCGTGTAGATACGTATTACAATGAAGCTGCAGGCATGTTTTAGGTAAAAATTTTGGGACCGTTTACATTTATCTCATACATACGCTTCCAATTTGCAAGAAGTACTTCTATTGCACGTTCTATTTAACCGTTTTTATCATCTTGTAAATAAATAATACTCGTACCAGTTGCAAAGAAAACAAGAGTTGATGTCTATCGCCTACTTAGCACACGCCTTGTTCTTGATTTTTATTATGGCTCTTTACTTAGTGACTTACAAAATTCTAGCAGTAACTGGGTGTCTGTTTATCAATTGAGTTTGCGAGGCACCCCCATTTTCAACGCTATACACCGCTGTAGTTAGTAACACAGGATTCATCTTGATTTGGTTGTAGCCACTATACCCATCCATGAATGAGAACATCTATGGGAGTGCCACTTTTTGTTGTTTCTTCTTCATTTGGTCATATCTTCAGTATCTCCGTCCTTCTAACGCCCGATAGACAAAGTAAGGGTTCATCTTGTTCTATGGGAACTACTTTGGATGAAGGCCACAACCAAGACCAACCACACCTAAACAAATGCTATCTATGCATACCAAAAGCTTTACTAAAAGCATTTTTACCATGAGTTTGGAGGTTTTTTGTGCAACAATTCATCGGAACCCACTGTTTTCCAGCACCATTCGATTCTAACTATTTGGCGCCATTGCAGCTATCCAACAACTGAAATGTTACGTAGCTTCGCGTGACCAATAGGTACCCTTCTTCCTCACCAAAAGCACAAAACTTGACTACTGATGTCAATGGCAACAGTTGAGCATACAATCTACCGATGAAAACGTTAGATTTACTTTTGTTTGTGTTTTTAGACAATGTTTTTGTCTTATTTTCCCTAGAAATGCAGATTTATTAAAACCCAGAAGCACAGTTCATGAAAAAGAAACGATACCTCACTGGTTTCATCCTTTTTTTCTAACATTTTCTATTCAGACAGGAAATTGTTTCTCATAACCCCTTCTCTCTCTCTCTCTCTCTCTCTCTCTCATCTGTACATTAGGCAAAATTATTTCTGTATAAAAGCAGCAAGATGGAAATACTACGAAAAACGAAGGTCCTTTTTTTTTTCTCCCCCCTCCCCCCTCCCCCCATCTCTTTCCTAATTCTTCGCAGTTGACTCATTCAGGTCTGTTGGGATTTTCATAACTTCATCACTAGTCGATCTTACTAATGCCAATACGCTTCACCACCGCATTCCTAATGGCTTCAGTCTGCATACAAATCCCATTCTGTTCAATCCCAGACATGTAGCTCCTCACTTCTTTCCTGATCATCTCTTGCATAACATCCAAGAATTCTGGGCTAAAGAACTGTTTTTCACCTGCTTGTGGTGGCGGCGGCGGAGGAACACCAATTGACCCAAAGTCATAGTTTGGACTGCTGTGAGACGGTGGTGGAGGCGGAGGAGGTGGTGGTGGTGGTGGAGCCACCTGGGCAACCGATTCAGGTTGTGGCTCTGGGTTATTTTGCATCACCTGAGTCGGGTGAGTTATAAAATTAGATCCGAATATTTTGTTAGATCCCTCAGACGAAACGGATCCGGGCAAGGACAGACTCAGAGACGTAGTCGGGTCGGATCCCGATGACGCTGTTTCCACCGGCTGAACAGGTGGAGTATTTACGCCGCCGGTTCTGGCAACAGGTCTATACACATGCGGTGAAGGAAGACCCGAAAGACTCGAATCGCTCAATTCGGATCCTGATGGGCTACTCGGGTTGATATACAAACCGGAAATTATCGTACCCGACCCAACACTCGCAGATCTTTTCAAAGGCTGAACGTCGACGAAAACCGAGTCATCGGACATGGAAGAGCACTTCCGCTTGAGAGTGGAGTTCCAATGGTTCTTGATAGCGTTATCAGTCCGACCCGCGAGCAATCGGGCTATGGTGGCCCACTTGTTGCCGAACTTCGCGTGGGCCCGTATGATCATCTCGTCTTCTTCTTGTGTAAACGCTCTGTGTTCCACCTGCGGCGAGAGCTGGTTGCACCATCGGAGCCTGCACGACTTCCCGGATCGACCCGGAATCGATTTGCTGATCAGAGACCAATTTCTCGGGCCATGCTTTTGCACCAGCCTCTGCAACAGTTCATCTTCCTCCGGACTCCATGGACCCTTGATCCGATCCGTATCTCTCCTCTCTGCCATCGTCGCCATCTTTTCAAAACCCTAAATTCAAACCCACAAAACGGAAAAAAATAAGAAAATAAATTATAACTGTCTGATTATCTTTGGGTGATGTGAAGTCGATATGACAGGAGAGGCTGAGCCTCACCTTGGTCTGAGACGGTAGGGTCTGGAGTGAGGGGTTTATATATGGGGGAGGGCTGGAGAAGAAGATAGGGATGACCGGCTGAGCCGGTAGGGGTGACCAGTTTTTGGAGTGGAGGGCAGTTACTAATATACAGCTGGCTAGGGACACGCGTCAGATTGTGAGGTGCTGATCGAACAGTATGCTCTACAGCTGGCTCAGTCAAAGTTCATCACACTACTCCTAACCGTACATTTCAAAAAATTTCTCACCGTCTTAACTTCTAAAACGGTCAGTGATTTGAATTTAAATTTCCAAACTTATATATTTTTTAAATACCCGATATTTTAGATGTGTGATGAATCTGTAGATAAATTACTTTCCATCCTTAAATTATGATCTATATATATATATATATTATATCTCAACACTTCAAAAGCCCATCCCGTGAAATTTGATTATGTATCAGATTTGTCGGCAATTGGAGCAATATGGATTTGTTAAATATAACTAGAAGTGTGATACGGAAACAAAAAAGATGAGGGAATATTTGGAGATAGTGGCATTGTTGAGGGGAAGAAAGAGTAATATAAATTCTATTTTTTCAAATGAGAAAGAAAGCAACAAAGGAATATATGGCAGTGAGCTGGTGCTAGACGACAAAAGTGGAAGCTGAATCCGGGAACGAACGGTACTACTAGTCTGACGAGTCCAGGCTGTAAAACCTGCCCCATTCTAACGGCTTTCGTATCGACGTACACGTGCCGGTCATACGAATAGACACATAGGCTGATAGGCCCCCTCTCTCTCTTCCAAATTCCAAGAAATTGCATGCAAGCAAGCGAGCAAGCCACCCTTGATTGTTATACTAAATAATAATAAAAATTAAAAGAAATTGATGGGCTTCTTTTCAATTTAAGAAGACAAATATAGCATTGTACCAAAAATTAATTTTAATTAAATAAATTTGATTAATATCCAATGACATTGACAGGTCCAGGCAAATAGAAGAAAAAATTGTGTTGAGCGGGACCCACAGCAGCCACGGAGAAACATAGGTGGACTACTACTACTACTAAACGTCCGACAGTTCTTATAGCTCCCACTGTAAAGCCACGTAAGAAGATTGTTTGGCAATGACGTGGGACAAAAACTTTAACCGGCCTAACTGCAACTTTTGAATTATATGTTAGGCCACGTCACTGTTCGCCAGCTATAGCGCACTTCTTTCACGGGTCCCAATAAAAAAAATACTATATCCAGTGATACCGCGTCACCTTCTTTACATAGTATTATTATCTAATTAAAATAATATAAGTCAAAAAAGTCTACTATTTTTATGATTATGAATAACTATCACATTCGATGATCAAAATATTAGATTAATAAGATCTATTTTATTTATTTGTGGTATTCTAATTGGATTAGTGACACTATGTAAAAGTAATAACGTGGTGTCATATTTACAATGAATATTTTCTTATGCTCTAAATGTTGAAGAATAAAAAATTTTAATAAATCAAGATTCATTTTTATATTATCTTAAAAATATTTTTTAAAAAGGTTGTTACAATTTTTAATGTTCAAATCCCATCTTTGTGAGTGTTTATAATTGATTTTAACAATTAATTGTTGAGATTGATTCTATACTTATAAGATGGATAGTAAAAATATATATATAAATGATCTCAAAAAATTATTAAAAAAAAAATTAGAACTTGGTTATTCAAAAAATAACCATAGGTATTATTTTTGATTATAAACTTTAATTTTAGTTATTTGTGAATCAACAATCACAAAATTAATGGGAAAAATACTTAATAAATGTTACATTCTAATCGGACCAAAACAAGACACAATTGTAAAAATTAAATTTTCAAATCCATAGCACTATTTTGATAATAAAAAGTATGCAAAAAGAGTAAACAAAGAGATAAAATAAGGGGTTAATAACACTTTTAGTCCTTAAAATATGTATTTTTTGTCAGTTTAGTCCTTATTTTATCAATTTAATTTCTAAAACATTTAATTCGTGTTATTTAAAGTACTCAACTCCCATTTGATAGTTGAATGAGAACTGCAAAGAATTTCAATCAAGGGGATATTCTAGTGGAGACAAAAAAAAAATGAGCTATAAAATCAGATATCTCAATTTCTAAACTTAAAAATTCTCTTAGGAACAAACAATGAGGGATACTCTACCTTTAATCAAGCATGGATGAGCCTTTGATTAGATTGGGAATTAGAATAATCAAAATGTACATAAATTGGTCCGAAAAAATATAGTGGTAATGCAAAGTTGGCCTGTCAATAAACTGGATTTTAATTCAAATTCGAATCTAAATCCATTTAATCAGATGTGGATTAAAATTTTAATCCTGATTATCCGAATTCAAATCTACTTAGACTTATTTAAAAGAATTTAGATTTTAGACATATAATAATTCGATTCGTTAAAAATTCGATCCGACTTAATATATATTCATATATATATATTATACATATTATATATTATAAGCTAAGTAAAAAATCTTATCCCTAATCCACTACTTAAAATATTTGGATTGAGCCATTGATTAACAAAATTAAGTAAAAATTCATCCATTAAGTTGAAATTGTTGGTTAATTGATAAATTTTGTTAAAATTCAACTTATTCGGATCATACCAAATTATTTGGTCAAATGTCTGATTTTTAATAAATCCGAATATGGACTGAAAATATTGATATCCATCAAAATATTGAATTGAATTTAAAATTAAAATTTTTAGTTGAATTTCCATCCGTTGGTTTGGTAGGCCTACTGCGAAGGAAAGAGGCAGAGGCATGAATGTCGTGGTTCTCGTGGTTTTATTTTTTTCCTTTCCAATGTTAAAAGTATTATGGGTAAAAGTCCCATTGGATTGAACAGCAAACCATTAAAATAACTAGAGAAACGGCTAAAAGATTACATAAGAATCTGCCGTTGGAGCGCTACAAGTCTTTCTTTTTCTCCCTCCAAACGCGTAGTCATTTTGTACCCACTTGTTCATTTCTTATTAATCTTTTTAAAATTTCTACTTACCCAAAAAAAAAACATTTTTATAATCTTTGTTTAGTCACTAAGATACAATTCCACAAGTTGGTTACAGCTGTTAAAAAGTGCAAGTTGGTTTTTTTTTTTTTTTTTCCTTATTATGATACATTAGATAACTTAAGTGAATGAATCACGTCACGTAAATTGAATTTTTTAATGAGGCCAATTTTGACGTAGCTGAATTGTTTAATTGTGATTTCGACATTATTAGTTTTTGGTTGTAAAATAATACACGTGTAATTGATCTTTCTCAAATCATGTAATGACAATTTCAATTGGTAGTTTTAATAATAACATGGACGAGCTGTAAGTTCAGACGTCATGAATTCAAATTTTGGCAATCTATTAAGATTTGATTTTGAGAGATTTAATCCTCATGAAATATCCTAATGCCGACATAAATAACTTGTCTCATATAATTTATCACATAATGTTATGATTTAATAATAAATTTATAATTGAGTAAGATAAATCCCACTTATAGTTGTTTTCATACATGAATAAGATAATTACTAAATTAAGTAGGGCTCACTTGTAAATATATTAATTTTTTATTAAATAATGACATTACAAGATAATAATAATAATAAAGTGGTGTCACCGTTACAAAGTAATTTAAGAAAATAGGACCTTAAATGTGGTCCACTAGAGCTCTATGATGCTTTTGAATATTATTGACTTTAAACCTCACATTTGTCACGAGGGTAAATAAAGGGAATGTTTTTTTTTTTTTTTTAAGTTATTGACTCTTTCTCTTTCTATTTCTAGAAAGAGAAAAAGAAAGATAAAGAGAGAGAATATACCTGGAGTGAGAGGGCTACTTTACTGGGTTGCCAAAGCTGTGTCAAACCCACCAAGTGAGTTGATGGGCATTGTCAGTATCAGATTATATGTTATATGCTGCCGATTAATGAAAGATATATTCATTTCCCTTTCTTTTCTTTTTTTTTTAAAAAAGTGTCTATAGATACAAAATTATTGTTAATTGACTAATAAAATTGTAGTTGGTTGATAGTTTAAGTATGGTAGTCGTGTGATTAGTCTAAGCTGAACAAACCGATACCCAAAACTCCCAATAAGAGTAAAATGGAATCCTCTCCTTGGACAAAATAAATTTTGTAGTCGAGTAAATAGAATCTCCCACCTCTGCGATGGGTTGGGCCGGCTCAGCCCAGCCCAGCCAATAATTTTTTAAACTCATGGCTTGCTTGTGGGTTGGGCCTCTAAGCTTTGACTAGTCAACTAGTCGGGCTTGGCCCATCGTTAGGAATTTTTAAGGCCCATGGGCCAAGTTATTGGGGCAAAATACAGGTCAAGTCTTATGGGCCATCCATTGGGCCTGAAACGGATTTTTTATCAAAAAAAATATAAAAAGACATAAAAAAATTATTTTTTATGTAAAAATTACAAAAAGACAGCAATTACATGAAGTTAGTATAAAAAAATAAATTAATAAAAAAATTATTCATATTGGTTGAATTTAACAAATATTCATAAAGAAAAATTTAATGTTACATTACAAAATTGATTGATGGATGAGATTATTTTGTATAACTACAAATTGAGTACATCCCAACTAGGTTAAAACATACAATTGTCAATCATTTGCAAGTCTCAACATTATAAAAGTTACATATCAAATATTAAATAAACAATACAACTATGAAATTAAGGAAAACTATATTTATTTTAAATTAAAGGAAAGTCCTTAAGGGGGAAGAATCTATAATTTTTCAGATGTAATGGAAGTTATTAGCTTTTTTTTTTTTTT